CACCCTCCTCCCCCGGACCGCGCGCAGGGCCTTGTTCTCTCCCCCTCTCGCGCAGCCCCCCCCAGCGCCGCGCGATGGCCGGCGACGACGCGGTGGCGGCGGCGGCGGAGGACCCCGCGCGCGCGGGCGCGCGTCCGCTGCGGTACACGCGGTCGCGGTCGCTGCGCGCACTGGCGGGCGCCGCGACGCGCCGCCTGTCGGACGGGCACAGCGCGCCGTCCACGGCGTCGGACGACGCGTCGTCGCAGCAGGGCTCCGCGTCGCGCAAGACCGCCGTCCCGTTCAACCTGCGCTTCCTGCTGGGCCGCGCCGACGACGGCTCCAACGCGGCGGCCGCCGCCGCCGCCCCCGAGCACGACCTCAGGTCCGGCGTCAACGACCTCATCTCGAAGAAGATCCGCCGCGCACAGCTCAGGGATGGGCCCATACGACTCGACGCGCATGAGGCCGAGAGCGCGTACGTGCTCCGCCCCGATATCCGCCCGAGGCGCTGGTGGGACATGTATATCCTCGTCCTGTTGGTGTACGTGGCTACCGTGTCCGTGTTTGTGTTTTCGTTCTTGGGCATTCTCACCGTCTCCAGCCCCTGGTTCTGGGTCGAACGCTTCCTAGACCTTTCCTTCTTTGTCGATATCATCCTCAACTTTTATACCGCCTACGACCGCGCCGGCGTCCTGGTCACGGACCGCAAAGCCATCCGCACCCACTACGCCAAGACCTGGCTCGTCCCGGACATCCTGGCGACCTTCCCGTGGGACCTCCTCGTGTTGCATCTGCAAGATGACGACCCCTCACGCCCGCACATCGCCCAGCTCCCGCGATACATACGCATGGTGCGGCTGTTCAAGCTCGTGCGCCCGGCGCGCATGCTGCGTCTCAAGCAAGGCTTTACCCAGCTCGAGGTGAAACTGCGCATCAAGTATGGCTACATCCGCCTCGTGGCGCTCTTCCTCTCCGTCGTCCTCATGGCGCACTGGTTTGCCTGCCTCTTCTTCTACTTTGGGTCCATCGCCGGCTTCGAGGCCTCGTGGCTCACGCAGGACGGCCTTCCTGAGGACATGTTTGGGCAGTACATTGCCGCGCTCTACTTTTCCGTCTACACGATCACGACGATTGGGTATGGTGACGTGGTACCCGAGAACACGCTGGAGCGGACGTTTACCACGATCATCATGTTTCTCGGAGCAGCGATGTTTGCGTACATCATCTCGCAAGTGTCCAACATCGCGGGCGAGCTGAACGAGTCGTCGGCGCACCAGCGGCGGGTGATGGACACGCTGACAGACTTTGTGACGTACCGGCAGATCCCCGACGACCTGGTGTACGACATCCGGCGGTACTTTCAGCGGGAACACCTGCGGCAGCGGATCGCGGACGAGAAGCAGTTGCTGGACTCGATCAACCGGGACCTGCGGATCAAGGTGCTCAAGCACATGTACGGGACGCACCTCGAGCACTCGCGGCTTTTCCGAGACATCCCGTCGTCGCACCTCGACGACGTGTACGACAGCCTGGTGGAGAGGTTTGCGCGGAAGGACGAGAAGCTGTACTCGGAGGGGGACGAGCCCAACTGCTTCTACATCATCCTCAAGGGGACGGTGCAGGTGCACGAGGGCGGGGTGGGCGTGGAGGACAAGGAGGACAAGGACATGTTTGGGGACGAAAACTTGCTGTTCAACCGGCCGCGCGAGAGCGCGGCGGTGTGCACGAGCTACACAGACCTGATCGTGGTGCCGCGCGAGGCGGTGATGGCGGCGCTGGAGCGGCACCCGGTGCAGCTGAACGACCGGCGCGACGAGGAGGCGCTGCTGCTGTGGAACAAGGCGATGCAGGTGGTGGAGCAGCAGATCCGGTACCAGCGGATCGCCAAGGAGCTGCGGCGGCGCGGCGACGAGCACATGCAGCTGCGCGGGATGCAGACGGGGGCGGCCGCGGCGGCGGGGGCGGGGGCGGGGGCGGGGGCGGACGGCGGCGACGAGGCGCAGATGCCCGGGCCGTCGCCGCTCCAGCGAAGCATCCCCCGGCGCAGCCTCTCCGTGCCCGTCGGGACGCGCGACGGCGGCGGCGACGCGCTCTTCGCGCTGCAGGCACGCGGAAGCGACGAGGAGGCGGAGAGAGCGGAGAGAGCGGGCGCCGAGCGCGGCCGGGACGATGACGACGATAATGAGACGCTTAGGAAGAAGCTCAAGGCTAAGGCCGAGCAGGTGCGCAAGCTCGAGTCCAAGTTGGTGCACTTGCAGAGGCAGGTGGATACGATTCTTAAGAGCATCCGGGACGTGGCGTAGGGCGGGTTGTTTTTGCTGTGGCCTTTTTTTTTTTTTTTTTTTTTTTTTTTTTTTGGTCGCGGCGGGATGGCTGTACAGTACGGTAGTGTAGTGTAGTGTGGTGTGGTGTGGAGAGAAGGCAGGATTGGGATGAGGATTGGGAGCAGCAGTGGCGCGGCGGTGTAGCGCGGGGGCGTGGTTCCGGTGTGCTCTTTGTGTCAAAAAGTGTTTCGAAGCGGGGGAATTCGGTGCTACGGTACCCAAGGGTACCCTTCTCACTGCCTCAATTTTGGACATGGCCCAATTATGGACACCAACTTTGGATTGGCACAGTCCATTGCTACTCTAGTGCTAGACGAAGCCCTTGGGTAGATGCTAAAGTTACCCTCGCTACAGTAACGGTACTGTACTTGTACCACCAGCAACGCTCAAGTCTGTCGAAGCGGCCTGAACGGCCCTCAGAATTGCAACTTCCTGAATTGCGTGCCGCCACCACCAACGCTGCATTGGCTTGCTGTTGATTGGCTTGCTGTTGATTGGCTTGCTGTCGATTGGCTTGCTGCCCATAAATTAAACCCACGTAAACACGTGTACTGCCTGTACCGCCGAATTGCCTCGCTGTCCTCCTGCTTCTCCGCCACGTAAACACGTGTACCACCGGCCCCCGCCGAACCAGTTTGCTGTCCCCCTGTGCATTGATAAAATTACCCCAAAATCTACACTTTGACCCTAAAAGTATGTGTACATGTAAGTTAGAGCAATACATGTAAGTTAGAGCACTGTGTACATGTAAGTTAGAGCAACGTGTACACAAATAAATGACATATGTAGCGCCCCACGCACACACGTGTCGCCCGCCGCGCATGCCCCGCGACCAACAAAAAACGCCGCCGTCCGCAGCCCGCGCGCGCCGCGCCCCACCCGCGCGCGCACAAGTGCCGCATGCTCCTTTGCCCAAGTGTCGCCGCCCGCCACGGCCCCCCGCCCGAACCGCCACCGCGTCCCGCCCGCCATTGGCCCGCGCCGCACACCCTGTCCGACCCCGCCGCACCGGTATGATGCGTACCCACCCGCCCCGCCTCGCACACTGCATTCCTCGTCACCGCCGCCTCCGCCGCCGTCACTTGCCCGCCCGCGCCGCGCCCTGCCCGAGCCCCCTCAAGCCAACCCTT